TAGATACCATTGCAACGAATGGGAATTCCAGAACACTTCATCATGCTCATGAGGAACCTGTACACGGACCAACAGGTAGTCTTTGGAACCGAACAAGGGAATACTGAGTGTTTTAAAAGCAGGAAAGGTATGCATCAGGGTTGTATCATTTCAGCATACTAAATTTATATGCTGAGCAAATAATTGGAGAAGGTGAACTAGATGCAGAGGAACTGCACATCAGGATTGGAGGAAGCCTCATTAATCACCTGCGATGATGGGCAGATGACACGAGGAGGACTTGATGCACTTGCTAATGAAGATCAAAGGCCGCTACCTTAAGTATGAATTGAAACTCATTCATTGAAAACAAATTTTGAACAAAACAAATATTGAAAACAAATATCCACACAACTGGACCGCTAGACACCATCATGATATGTGGAGAAAAGATTGAAGTTGTCAAGGATTTCATCTTACTTGAATCCACCATCAACACTCCTGAAAGCAGAAGAAATCATGGAACCCAGAAATCAAATGACATGTTGCATTGGACAAATCTGCTGCACAAGAGCTCTTTAACGTGCTGAAGAACGGGGAATGTTACTTTCAAGGCGAAGCTGCACTTTTCATTTGTCCCAGTGCCGGTAAAAAATTAACAAGGAAGACTACAGAAAAAAATTGGTGTATTTGAACTGTGGTGTTGGCAAACAACATTGAAAGTCCCATGGGCTGCCAGAAGAAGAAACCAACCTGTCTTGGACCACGTACACCCAGAATGCTTCTTTTTTTTTTTTTTTCACCCAGAATGCTTCTTAAGAGGCAAGGACGGTGAGACTTCTCTCACATACTTTGGACATGTTTTCAGGAGAGAGCTGTCTGGTAAAGGAAAGATTCGGTGGAAAAGAGGCAGCTAGCTCCTCAATGAGAAAGTTTGACACCGTGGCTGCGCTCAAACAGAACAGTTGTGAGGGCGGGCAGCATGCAAGACCGGGCCATGTTTCCTTCCGTCGAACATTGGGTTACTATGAGTCAGAACTGATGTGATGGCACACACACACACACACAAAATTCACATGTATTCGTGTATATGCACACTTACACAGAGAGATTTGGGAATTGTATTTGAAATTTCTGAGTGTGTGTGTTTATTTTTAAGTATAAAATGGAGAAATTTGTCAAGAAAAATGGAAGGAACCATTAGGTCAACAACAAGAGAGCAAATACCTTCCCCCATCCCCCAAAAGAAACCATTGCCATTGAGTTGGTTCTGATTCTTCGTGACCCGGTATAGAGTTTCTGAGCCTCAGTCTCTATGGGAGCAGAGAGCTTTATCTTTCTCCTCTGGAGCAGCTGGTGGAGTTGGATCTCCAGCCTTTGGGCCAAGCAGCCCAGGGCCCAACCCCAAGTGCTATCAGGGCTCCTTTAGTTAAGTTACCTGACGTGGTCTAAAGTATAAACCAGTTGGAAGATCTAACGGAAGGATACTTCAAAACAGATGGAAACAATTAGACCAGCATGAGAGATTGGAAATAGAGCAAATACATGTTCTAGGACAAAGCGATGATTGTTTTGTGCCGTCGGGTGGATTCCAACCCAGCAACCCCGGATGGCAGAGCAGAACTGCCCCATGGGGTTTCAAAGGCTGTCGTTTTGTTGGGTGCTCACCACCAGAGCTTTTCCCTCGTTGAGCTGCTGGCCAGATCAAGCGGACCTTTGCTTAGCAGCTGTGTGCTTAACAGTTAACCACCAGGACCTTGGCTCTAGCTGGGTTTTAATGCAGCCTGATCGGAAACTCCCGCTTCCACAAGGCTTTCCTCTGCCCTGCGCTGCTGCAGCCCACATTGGGGACTGGGTCTAGCTTGGAAAAAGTTACTGGTAGCACTTGGAAGGAGTCCCTGCTGGCACAGTGGTTGAGCGTTTGGCTGTTAACTGAAAAGTCGGCAGATGGACTCTACCAGCCATTCCACAGGAGAAAGAGGTAGCGGTCTACTGTGTACAGGGTACAACTTAGGAGCATGTCTTAGCTGTCGAGCACTGCTCTAACAGAATTATCACAAGTCGCTGGCTCATCACACACGGACATTTATTTTCGTACAGTTTAGGAGGCCACATTCAGGATGCTGGTACTAGGGGAAGTTTATCTTTCTCTCTGTCCCTCCCTCTTTCAGCTCAGGAGGAAGGTCCACAACTCTCAGAGTTTCTGCTCCTAGGTGATCTTATTAACACAACAATGGCATCCCCTTCCTAAATGGGATTAAAATCACAGGCATGCAGGTTAGGATTTACAACACATTTGGGGGACACAATTCATAACAGGGCAGTTTTACTGTCACGTGGAGTCCCCGTGAGTTGGAATGGTCTGGATGGTACACAACAGCAGTATAGGCAAGTGGACCAAGTAGCTGCCATGTATAAACTCACTGCCATGGAGTCAATGCTGACTCCTGGCGACCCTATAGGACAGAGTAGAACTGTCCCTGGGGGGTTCCGAGACAGTAAAGCTTTACAGGAGTGGATAGCTTAGTCTTTCTCCTCTGCTATGTATAAAATTGATAGTGAGGGAAACAGAAACTAGCATTACTTAGTGTCTGTGGGGCTGATATTTTGAGACACATAGAACTCTTGTTTAAATAATACTGTTACAGGTAACTAAAATGAGGATGAGTAGTATAGGATTATATAGGAGATCTTAATAACTTCCAAAGTGTTCACTAGGACAGAAAATCGGACTAACAGTTGATACATTAATATAGTAACTATAGTTCTTAAGTAATAAGGATTCCATTTTTGCCATTTTAGATCGTCTTTGGGGGATGATTTTAAAAATTATTTCAGTAAACTTCACTTGATAGTAATTTTAGTTGTAAAGGTAGGACATACAGTTTCTGTATACTACTCACCCAGTTTCTGGGGGATGATTTTTCCCATTAAAAAAACCCTTTTTATTGTGCATTACATGAAGGTTTACGGAGCATGTCATAGTTTTACATGCAACAATTTCTATACATTCTGATTCAACTCTCAATATACCATCACTTATCCCACTTCTTCCCTGTTTCCTGTTTTTATTCGCCCTCCTTTCCTAACCCTCTGTCCTTGGGTAAATGCTGCCCTTTGGATGTTTTTTCTTTGCTTCCCCTCCATCAGGATAATTGGAATATAATTCACACATCATACAAAAGTTCGATTATATCAAGAAGAGATGTACAGATTTAGGGCATTGTCTTCATTCTTGTACTTATCGGTATTATGTCCTTATTCTAACACTGGGGGATGAGTTCAGTTACACATCTGAAGTTTGACTGGGTGGGGGCGGGCGATGTCTCACCGGTCTCTATCCAACCACTCAGCCCAATCTCTTTTTATGACTTTGAATTCTGTCTCACATTTGTCTCCTACATGGTCCAGGACCTTCTAAAATGATCCCTTTTAGAGCAGGCACCAAAGAGTTCTCCGGGTGTGAGGGTCATGGAGGCTGAAGTTCCAGTGGTCCATTAGTTCTCTGGACTAATAGCTTCCATGCGTTTTTAACATTTCTTTATTTTCTTCACTCTTCTTTCCTGTGCTTGGGGAGAGACCAGTAGTTGCCTTGTAGATGGCTGCTCATGAGCTTTTAAGACCCTAGTCGTTTCTCACTTAAGCAGGATGTAGAACATCATCTTTTTGAACTAGGTTATGCCAGTTGACCTTGGTGCCCTCTGAGACTATGCTCCTGACCTCCCAGGCCCAGCAACTCATTCCTTCAAGATGTTGATGTCTAAGGAGTTTTCCTTACTTTGTCCCCTGTGTGCTCCACCACATTCATGGGTATGTTTGCAGGAAAAATAAATGCACATCTATAAATATCCTCTTCCAAACATGTATGTGTGTATTCATGGCTGTACTCCTATCTCCTTCCCATTCAGCCTGCATGTCTGTCCCTTGCAGCATCTACTCATAGCTCTCCACTTTTGTAGGATTGTGCACATAACAGTATTTGCCCCTAATTTTTGCAAACCTCTCTGGAGAATGATTTGATAGTCCTGATCTTGGGAGAAGATGTTCTCAGGAAATGAAAGGCTGTGTCTCATTCTTCTCCCTCTCCCTATTTATTTCCCTGTATTTGGCAGGCACATGAAAACTCCTTCCCATGATTTAGAACTGGGGATCCAAGCACCAGGGTATCAAATGTTCGGTGGAGGTGGCGCTGAACTTCTTCAATTAAGTGTCATTTTTAAAGCCCAGTTTCTCCTCTTTCACTTCCCTCTTCAGATTAGTCAAAGCTACAATTCCAGCTGCCTAGTATCAGTCCTCAGGGGACCAACAAAGACTTATAAATCGTTTTCTTGATACTTCTTTGGAAAAGCTATAAAAATACTAAGTTTCATTAGCAAATATGATTAAAGATACGTTTCTTACACTGATAAAATGGCAGATATGGAAGTATTTACATTGAGCAAGATAAGCTAATATGTAGGCTCTCTTGTATGCGCTTGCCTTGGGGCACAAACAGTTAAGCTAATCCTAAGGGGTAGTTCTATCCTGTTACAAGGGGTCACTATGGGTTGGATTTGACTTGCTGGTACCCCACAACAACTTGAACTTGTCTCCTCTAGATTTTTCATAAAAGTAGTATCATGCAGTCTTTTTCCTTTAATGTTCTTTTGCTTGTGTTCACATAATATGATTATTTAACAGTATGACTTGGGAGTCACCATTTTCTGAGTTTGAATCCCAGCTCTGCCATTTACTAACCATCGGATTTGTGGCAAGTGATGTAACCTCCCTGTGCCTCGTTGCCTCATGTAAGGTGGGGCTAATCACAACCCCCACTTCATAGGCTTGTAAGGCTTAAATGGATTCATATATATCTATATATGGCTAGATAGCTAGATAGGTTAATTAGAATGGCGCCTGGTTCAAGAAATGTTGGCTATTGTTTTTCTTGGCATCCAGGAGTTGAGGGACTAAGTTACATGAGCCAATAAAAACACTGGCTGATGTTGATAATATTTATTTCTTATGCTTCATTTAAACAGAAATTCTGCCTCCTGTGACCAATTTGAGTGTTTCTGTTGAAAACCTCTGTACCATAATATGGACCTGGAATTCTCCCGAAGGAGTGAGGCCGAATTGTAGTCTATGGTATTATAGTTATTTTGGCAACCACCAGGATAAGGTAAGTGTTCTGGAACATAAAGCATTGATGAGGTAAAGTGATCACTATGAATTAGAGGCAAGCCCAAGGCACAGTTTAATTTGGACTTCAGAGTGGGGATTTCAATTTGTTGTGTGCTCACTTTTTAACGTGGGATATTACCGAATCAGTTGTTGACAAGATTAAACATGTAAAAATATTTGTTCATTTTGGGTGATTAAATAGAATCAACATTTCTCTGATATATCAGGTATCTTTATTAAGCATTCAGTAAACAGCTATATGTTATCAGACTAAGTTAAAAACTATCGCTACAACATCATAGAAGTCTTTATTTTAAAGCATGTCAGATTCATCACATTCCCTCCAGGTAGGCCTACCTGTTTCTGAAGGCAGAGTTTCCATCTCTCTACCCTTTCCCCAAAGAATTCTGCACTCTTTACGCCACGTCAGAATGGCAGTGCTGGTCCTTGAAGGCTTCAAATTGCATTCCTTTTAAGTGTTTAGAGTTTGGGGAGCAAAAAAGAAGTCTGAAGGGGCAAGATCAGGGCCACAGGATAGATGGGATAAGGGTCCCCAAGGAAATTCACAGGACAACCATTGCCACCCTTGACGAATGAGCAGGGTAATAGTGATGGGGGAAATCCCTCAGCACAACTTTCCTGACATTTTTCCTCATAGCTGTGGTTTTCCATTTTCTTCAAACTTGTTTCCAAAAAGTCCCTGTGATGGTTCTTTGTCCTTTGAGCAAATTTATTAAGATTACTCCTGTGGAATCCCAAACAACAGGCCAAACAAGAGTGGCTTGATTTTTTTTCTCCAATTTTAGCCGTTTTATTGACATAATAATTCAAACTGCATACAATTCAGTGGTTTCAATATAAGAGTTGTGGAATCATCACCACAATCAATTTTGCAACATTTTCTTCATTCTTGTACCCTTTAGCTCCCCCAACGCCCTCTTGCCATAATCCTAAGAGAGCTTTTAAGACCTAAGACTCATTTTCTTTTGGTAGCCAGGCACCATCTGCTTTCTTCCCCACATTTTGCCATAGCACCCATATCATCAGTGATTCTTTCATGAGAGTAGGAGCCCTGGTGACATAGTGATTATTCGTAAGGTTGCAATCCAGCCACTCTGTGGGAAAAAGATGGGGCTTTCTATTCCTCTAATGTAAACAATCTCAGAAACTCACAGAAACTCAACCTATTCTATAGGGTTGCAAGGAATCGGCATTGACTTATGGCAGTGGGTCTTGAGTTTTCATGAGAGCAAGTGTCACACAGGGCTGACTTCTGCAGAGCAGTTGATGGCTTTAAACTTTCAACCTCTTGCCATTTAACCACTTGGAAGCATTTAGCCACTGCCACAAGGGCTCCGACCACTTACTAACTGTGGAATGAACATGTGTTCACGCTTGTAGCTGTGCCATTTGAATTACTCTGAGACTGTTCTCATTTATCTTGCTAATCACGTGTGCAAATAGATGTGCACGAAGGTTACCCCCTGGGCTGCTAACTGCAAGGTCAGCATTTTGAAACCACTAGCTACTCCATGGGAGAAAGATGAGGGTTTCTTTTACCATAAAGATTTGCAGGCTCAAAATCTACAGGGGCAGTTCTACTCTGTCCTCCAGGGTCACTAGGAGTTAGAATCAACTCAGTGGCAGTGGGTTTGGTTTTGGTGGATGAGATGCAAAAGTAAATAGCCATATGGAAGGTCAACAAAATAAGATGTCGGTTGCACGTGGAGTTAAAAAGTTGATCTAATGCCTGAGGAAAAATGAAGGGAACTTTTAAACTTTTCTAGTCAGGCAATCCATTGAACAAGATCGGATAATTCCAGGTTCTTATTCATTGAAAATTGATCTTGATCCTTATTGGTTTATAGCCCCTGAAGGAACCCAGGTGGTGTAGTGGGTTATACATGGAGCTGCTAGCCACAAGGTCAGCAGTTTGACTCCACCAGCCATTCGAAGAGAGAAAGATGAGGCTTTCTGCTCCGGTGAAGATTGACAGCTTCAGAAACTCAAAAGGGGCAGTTGCACTTTCTCCTCCGGGGTAGACCATTTATCATTTATCAGATCATTTGCCCAAAGTTGTGTGGAGTAATAATGTGGGGGGTGGAGTATGCTTGGGGTTGAATTTTTATTTTAGTGGTGGTTCTCAGAATTAGGCTCAGGATCTTGTGGCCCCATCATGAGAACTTGCTTTTAGTGACAGTATTTTGGATTAATGAGCTCTGAAATCACTTCGGAGGCAAAGAGAGTTAGGAGAGTTAGAGTTCGGGCATATGATGTAACCTCTTAGTTTCCTCTTAGAACATAAAGCGTCACGCTAATCACATCGAAATAAAAGCGCATGAAGAAGGCTCTTCCTTTTGAGGGCAGGTTGCCAATGTACTTTCCATGCCCTTTTCCTGCTGAGGTGTTAATGTTTTCCTGTTAATTAATACTTTCCCATGAATTCATGTGCATGGGTTAATGGATAAAGAATTAAAACATCTCAGAAGTACAAGAAGGTCTTCAAAAAGTTTGTGGCTAAAGTGAAGTGAAAAGATACTGGCATTTTTCCACAGATTTTTTGAAAGCCCCTCATATGTGCATCTTACATGACGGCCTCTGAAAGCAGGAGCTTGCAGGACGTCCAGGAGGGAGACTGGCCAAGTTTTCCTTTTCACATGGTTGGTGGCAAGTGTTGATCGTTTAGCACTTCAAGGCAAGTGCTTCTGCATGTAAATACCATAAAACAAAGAACCAAACTCAAGTCATGATTCCAACTCATGAGGATCTCAGAGCTGCCCCACACAAGGTTTCCAAGGCTGTTCATCATTGTAAAAGTCAGACGGCCACATCTTTCTCCCAAAGCACGGCCGAAGGGTTTTAAATATATATCTAATGAAAACCATGAGGAGATGTGACCTTTTTGCTAATAGGCCCCTTTTATATTAGGATCCAAACAAAAGAATAACAAACAAATCATTGCTACCGAGTTAATTCTAAGTCTCAGTGACTCTATAGGATGTGTTGATATTCTAGCCCAGAAATGAGGCAACTTGATCAGTCTACTTATTGAAAGTAATGCCATCAAACAATTTTACAGAATCTGCTTAGAGCAGCGGTTCTCAACTTGTGGGTTGTAGCCCTTTTGGGGGTCGAACCACACTTTCACAGGGGGTGCCGGATTCATAACAGTAGCCAAATTACAGTTATGACATAGCAACGAAAATAATTTTGTGGTTGGAGGTCACCACAGCATGAGGAATGGTATTAAAGGGTCGCCCACAGCATTAGGAAGGTTGAGAACTGCTGGCCTAGAGTCAAAGCAGCAGTGGTTCACTGAGGCATAAAGATGACCTGGACCGTGTGATGTCCACATTCACTGAGGAAAATGGTCGCTCCACTGGAAAGTGAGGAAAAATAAAGTTTAAAAAAATCATTTTATTGGGGGCTCTTACAGCTCTTATAACAATCCATACTTCAATTGTATCAATCACATTTGTACATACGCTGCCATCATCATTTTCTAAACATTTTATTTTTGCTTGAGCCCTTGGTATTAGCTCTCTTTTCCCCCTCTTTCCCCACCCTCCAACCCTCATGAACCCTTGATAAATTTAAATTCTTTCTATATCTTAAACTGACCACTATCTCCCTTCACCTACTTTTATGTTGTCCGTCCCCCGAGGAGGGAGTTATATGTAGGTCCTTGTGATCAGTTCCCCCTTTCTACCGGACCTACCCTCCACCCTGCAGGTATCGCCACTCTCACCACAGGTCCTGAGGGCTTCATCTGTCCTGGATTCCCTGTGTTTCCAGTTCCTATCTGTACCACTGTACATACTCTGGTCTAGCCGGATTTGTAAGGTAGAATTAGGATCATGATAGTAGGGGGTGGGGGGCGGGGAGGAAGCATTATAGAACTAGAGGAAAGTTGTATGTTTCACCGTTGGTACATCGCACCCTGACTGGCTCGTCTCCTCCCTGACACCCTTCTGTAAGGGGATCTCCAGTTGCCTACAGATGGGCTTTGGGTCTCCACTCCGCACTCTCCCTCATTTACAATGATATGACTTTTTGTTCTTTGATGCCTGATACCTGATCCCTTCGACACTTCATGATCACATTTTTGTGTAGTCAGAGCAGGAACTCAAAGTTACCAAATCATAATTGGCTCAAAGACAATTGTGAGAGTAAGGTGGGCTATCCGGTAGCAGGCATGGGGCAGCGTTAGGAGGCTGTCACATAAGTGGGCTTACATGAATGGCTAAAGCTTTATTATAGCATGGTCATCAGACAGTCGGAGGACAGGTTTTGCTGGTAACTTGTTAGTAAAGTTGCTTTCTCATTTGTATCTGTTTCTGGAAGTTCCTTTAGAAAATTGTTCGATAATACTGTACACGAAGACCCTACAGGTGTAAACTATCACATCTTGCCCCTGCTTGACCATAGTGGAAATACCCTTTGGATATAAACTCTGAGATCCTGCACCTGCAAGACCTCAGAGAAAAGGGCTGTCTTCTTAAGATTGTATTTTTGAGGTCAGCATCAGGACTAAAGGAACTATTAGGAAAGCTGTTCTTTTCACACACACCAAGTGCCTGTGATTTTAAGCTCTCACACAGTAGATTTAGGACTCAGAATTGAGTTTGAAGTTTTGGTTCTTCTTCCTTTGAACCTACTGGCTTTTGGGCAAGTCAAAAAACACCTTGTCACAAAGACTTTTCTTCATTGTGCACAGAGGTGGGGTGGGGGTAATAATGGTACTTACTTCTTACAAATGGTATGTGCAATCAACCAGATGTTTTTGTAAAGTCCCCGGCCCAAAGTCAGTGCTCAGGAATTGTTAGCTTTCATTATTACTATCATCAGCTCAAATGGCCTGAATTCACCATTTTCTAGATGAAAAAGGTTCCCTTGTCAATATTTATGGTTTAACCTCATATCATTACTTACTCTTGTTTCCTACATATTTTTAAGAAGAAAGCAGATGGAGAGCATATGTAGGGCAATTGCTGCCTA